CATATTCTCTTGACAAGGGGCCAAGTGGGGATTATTGTTACACAAGTTTCTCAGTAATCTATGCTGTTCTACACCATGGAGATCTCCTGTTACTAACAGGTTTCCTAGTAATCTATGCTGGTCTACACCATGGAGATCTCCTGTTAGACAGGTTTCCTAGTAATCTATGCTGTTCTACACCGTGGAGATCTCCTGTTAGACAGGTTTCCTAGTAATCTATGCTGTTCTACACCGTGGAGATCTCCTGTTAGACAGGTTTCCCAGTAATCTATGCTGGTCTACACCATGGAGATCTCCTGTTAGACAGGTTTCTCAGTAATCTATGTTATCTACACCATGGAGATCTCCTGTTAGACAGGTTTCCTAGTAATCTATGTTATCTACACCATGGAGATCTACTGTTAGACAGGTTTCCCAGCAATCTATGTTGTCTACACCATGGAGATCTCCTGTTAGGCAGGTTTCCCAGTAATCTATGCAGGTCTACACCATGGAGATCTCCTGTTACTAACAGGTTTCCTAGTAATCTATGCTGTTCTACACCATGGAGATCTCCTGTTAGACAGGTTTCCCAGTAATCTATGTTATCTACACCATGGAGATCTACTGTTAGACAGGTTTCCTAGTAATCTGTGTTATCTACACGATGGAGATCTCCTGTTAGGCAGGTTTCCCAGTAATCTATGTTATCTACACCATGGAGATCTCCTGTTAGACAGCTTTCCCAGTAATCTATGTTATCTACACCATGGAGATCTCCTGTTAGACAGGTTTCCCAGTAATCTGTGCTGGTCTACACCATGGAGATCTCCTGTTAGGCAGGTTTCCTAGTAATCTATGTTATCTACACCATGGAGATCTCCTGTTAGACAGCTTTCCCAGTAATCTATGCTGGTCTACACCATGGAGATCTACTGTTAGGCAGGTTTCCCAGTAATCTATGCTGGTCTACACCATGGAGATCTCCTGTTAGACAGGTTTCCCAGTAATCTATGTTATCTACACCATGGAGATCTCCTGTTAGACAGGTTTCCTAGTAATCTATGCTGTTCTACACCATGGAGATCTCCTGTTAGACAGGTTTCCCAGTAATCTATGTTATCTACACCATGGAGATCTCCTGTTAGACAGGTTTCCTAGTAATCTATGCTGTTCTACACCATGGAGATCTCCTGTTAGACAGGTTTCCCAGTAATCTATGCTGGTCTACACCATGGAGATCTACTGTTAGGCAGGTTTCCTAGTAATCTATGTTGTCTACACCATGGAGATCTCCTGTTAGACAGGTTTCCTAGTAATCTATGTTATCTACACCATGGAGATCTCCTGTTAGACAGGTTTCCCAGTAATCTATGCTTGTCTACACCATGGAGATCTACTGTTAGACAGGTTTCCTAGTAATCTATGTTATCTACACCATGGAGATCTCCTGTTAGACAGGTTTCCCAGTAATCTATGCTGGTCTACACCATGGAGATCTACTGTTAGGCAGGTTTCCTAGTAATCTATGTTATCTACACCATGGAGATCTCCTGTTAGGCAGGTTTCCTAGTAATCTATGTTATCCACACCATGGAGATCTCCTGTTAGGCAGGTTTCCTAGTAATCTATACTGGTCTACACCATGGAGATCTACTGTTAGACAGGTTTCCCAGTAATCTATGCTGTTCTGCAACATGTAGTGGTACATAACATCCAAAGCAGCTGCTTGACAGAGGCAATTATATCAGGTGATTTCCATCTCATTTCCACACGCATATCATTACAGCAGATGCACACCTAAATTCTGATGCTATCAATGTGCACTTCCTGTTCTACTTCAGGTATGTTTTATGTTCTGTCCTTGTTCTGTTGATTCTTATGGTTCTACAACGATGTGAAGTGAGACCAGGTTATGGTTCTACAACGATGTGAAGTGAGACCAGGTTATGGTTCTACAACGATGTGAAGTGAGACCAGGTTATGGTTCTACAACGATGTGAAGTGAGACCAGGTTATGGTTCTACATCGATGTGAAGTGAGACCAGGTTATGGTTCTACAACGATGTGAAGTGAGACCAAGTTATGGTTCTACAACGATGTGAAGTGAGACCAGGTTATGGTTCTACAACGATGTGAAGTGAGACCAGGTTATGGTTCTACATCGATGTGAAGTGAGACCAGGTTATGGTTCTACAACGATGTGAAGTGAGACCAGGTTATGGTTCTACATCGATGTGAAGTGAGACCAGGTTATGGTTCTACATCGATGTGAAGTGAGACCAGGTTATGGTTCTACATCGATGTGAAGTGAGACCAGGTTATGGTTCTACAACGATGTGAAGTGAGACCAGGTTATGGTCTCTGAGACAGGTTATGGTTCTACATCGATGTGAAGTGAGACCAGGTTATGGTTCTACAGGGAGACCAGGTTATGGTCGATGTGAAGTGAGACCAGGTTATGGTTCTACATCGATGTGAAGTGAGACCAGGTTATGGTTCTACAACGATGTGAAGTGAGACAGGTTATCGATGTGAAGTGAGACCAGGTTATGGTTCTACAACGATGTGAAGTGAGACCAGGTTATGGTTCTACAACGATGTGAAGTGAGACCAGGTTATGGTTCTACATCGATGTGAAGTGAGACCAGGTTATGGTTCTACATCGATGTGAAGTGAGACCAGGTTATGGTTCTACATCGATGTGAAGTGAGACCAGGTTATGGACGATGTGAAGTGAGACCAGGTTATGGTTCTACATCGATGTGAAGTGAGACCAGGTTATGGTTCTACAACGATGTGAAGTGAGACCAGGTTATGGTTCTACAACGATGTGAAGTGAGACCAGGTTATGGTTCTACATCGATGTGAAGTGAGACCAGGTTATGGTTCTACAACGATGTGAAGTGAGACCAGGTTATGGTTCTACAACGATGTGAAGTGAGACCAGGTTATGGTTCTACAAAGATGTGAAGTGAGACCAGGTTATGGTTCTACATCGATGTGAAGTGAGACCAGGTTATGGTTCTACAACGATGTGAAGTGAGATCAGGTTATGGTTCTACAACGATGTGAAGTGAGACCAGGTTATGGTTCTACATCGATGTGAAGTGAGAGCAAGTTATGGTTCTACAACGATGTGAAGTGAGAGCAAGTTATGGTTCTACATCGATGTGAAGTGAGACCAGGTTATGGTTCTACAACGATGTGAAGTGAGACCAGGTTATGGTTCTACATCGATGTGAAGTGAGACCAGGTTATGGTTCTACAACGATGTGAAGTGAGATCAGGTTATGGTTCTACAACGATGTGAAGTGAGACCAGGTTATGGTTCTACAACGATGTGAAGTGAGAGCAAGTTATGGTTCTACAACGATATGAAGTGAGACCAGGTTATGGTTCTACAACGATGTGAAGTGAGAGCAAGTTAATGTTCTACAACGATGTGAAGTGAGACCAGGTTATGGTACATCTGCTATTCTTCTTGTTGGCAATTTCACCAGACAATGTTAATGGAACAACCAGTGCTCACCTACATGTTCCCTCCTGGCTGGTCAGAGCATTAGCCTAGTGGTATTTGGTATATGGTATGACGTCACGTTTCTTCTATGACATTGCGTTCTACATGCGGCGACAGCGGGTAGCCACCCTATGTTTGAAAGTGGATTTGGGTTTATTTTCCTCAATTTGACGACTTTGGTAATAAATAGAATATTATATTCGTGCCCATATCATACTATGTTTACAATAGTGAGCGTGCTTAAATATCGGTATATCCCAAGCGATCGCTCGGGATATTCCAACATTTAGGCATTTGGGTCATAAAAATAATATGACATGTGCACTCATATAATATCCTCGATATGTTCTGTTACAGGTTTTAAATGCAGCATTAGAGCTTTCAAATACCTGACTTGTCTTTGACAGCTTTCAGATACATGGTGTGTCTTTCACAGGTTTCAAATACCTGACTTGTTTATGACAGCTTTCAAAATCAAATATATGACTTGTCTATGACAGGTTTAGAATACCAGACTTGTCTACTATAGGTTTCATATGCGTGACTTGTCTATGACAGGTATCAAATACAGTAAAATACCTTTATAACGAACTCCAAGGGACCACTGAAATTAGTTTGTTATATCCGTAGTTCGCTATTCACGAAATTCCACTGAAAGAACAATAAATACATACTGTACAGTACGATGCATTCCTACTCAGTTTATTCATTCATTCATACGACAGTTAAATTCGTGTCACTACGAAGTCTGTTTTCTTACTTTGTCCACGCTTGGCCGACTGCATATGTGCTACAGCCTCATTCAAATCGGCAAGTGAATCAAATGAAAACATATCAGTTGTCTTCTGTGAAACTAGAAAGTTCTTCATTGTTTGAAGCGCCATATTGGCATCAGCAAACGAAGGAGGGGCCTGGTCTGTTTCATCACTGTTCATGTCATCATCATCACATTCGGAATCAGCTCGGGACATTCCGTCGAGCTGATCGGAAACGGCCTTTGCAACCCATCTACGACTTGCCTATGACAGTTATCAAATACATGACTTGTCTATGACAGGTTTCAAATACATGACTTGTATATCACAGGTTTCAAATACATGACTTGTATATCACAGGTTTCAGATGCATGACTTTACTATGACAGGTTTCAAATACATGACTTGTCTATGACAGGTATCAGATAAATGACTTGTCTATGACAGGTTTCAAATACATGACTTGTCTATGACAGGTGTCAGATAAATGACTTGTCTATGACAGGTTTCAAATACATGACTTGTCTACTAAAGGTTTCAAATACATGGCTTTTCTAGGACAGGTTTCAAATACATGGCTTGTCTATGACAGGTTTCAAATACATGTTTCTGGCAAATTTCAAATACAAGACTTACTTTTGATAGGTTTCAAAGACATATTTTGTTTCACTTACATGTGTTTTTTTATTACAGGTTTCAATTACTCCTATCATGTTATACAGGTATGAAATACATTGATATTGCAGGTTTCAAATACAGAATAATGACTTGACAGAAGTGAGTAGTACCGTTGCTGCAACACCCACGATCATCACACCATCACCACCATGGGGGACATGAGAGAGACTGACAGCATCATCCAGGACGGAGTTGCAAGCCCTGGGGATAAAGATGCACCCAAGGTCGTTATTGAGTCCAAAGTGCAGATGAAACAGTCCATGAACCTGTTTCACTGTACAGCTCTCCTAGTGTCCATCACCGGCCATTCAGCAGTCTTCATTGCGCCATCGACCATCGTCAAGTTTTCAGGCTCAGTTGGGATGTCTCTAGTGGCCTGGATGGTGGGAGGGTTGATCAATCTCAGCCTGGCCTTGTGTTTTACCGAACTTGGCACCATGATGCCTAAAGCTGGTGGACCTTACGCTTTCATCTACAGCACATTTGGCTCTCTTCCTGGATTCCTGGTTCTCTGGGGTTACATTGTGCTCATTTCTGGACCCTTCTGGGCCTTCCAGTCCAAGACAGCGGCAGTGTATGTCGTGAAGGCCATATTCCCCCGGGATGTGATATTCCAGAAATGGAATGGGGTATCAAAATGCTCGCAGCATGGATTATAGGTAAGAGACATGTTTTTTCAAACACACACCCAATATGAGAAATGATATTGAAACTCTCCAAATATATTTTAAACAAGGAATGTTGTGGTTCTTCTCTAGTTCATTTATCTCACACACAACTCCGCAACAAAGCCAGTTTTTTGTTTTACTTTTATCAGGTTCCATGTGTACAAAAACAATCGTAGTCATAATTCCATGCTTGAGTATCAGAGTTTGTTTTGTTCAAGTTGGCCGAGACATAATTTGTCAGTGTCAAGTCAACTTTAATGTTATTGACTCTGTAAAGACTCACTGAGGAATTACAGGTTCCTATCTGGAAGACATTTTTGAAAGTAATATAACTGAATATCCTCAAAAATGGTTTTTATATGACCTACAAAAAAGCATTCTTTTTACAAAAGCTTGATTGTTGGCTAAAAGCCATTTATTAGAATAGTTTTATGGTAGAAGCAGCCATTTCTCCTCTTTTGTTCCAACTTGACAGCTTTATGACACCATCCCGGTAATGTGAAATGAGATGCCAATTCAGTTACTACTGAGAAAACATGGTGCATAGAAGTTGCTAGAAGTTGTTTATTCAGAAGTTTAACCACCAAGCTTTGTCTGTAGTGTAACAATCTGTAGTGACAGGATGCTGTATATATGTTAAAGAATGAGATTTGATGTGTTTAGGAATAAATGAAACTTCCCGTTTGTCATATACTTTCAGAATTTAAGAAGAATGTATTTCAAGGAAACAATTACACCAATGTGAGTGACGATCTATGTAGCAGGGTGTAGAGCCATTGATTCTGAATTGTTTGTGTGTGTGATTACTTCCTGATATCCTGAGATTATGCTGCTGCTGTTGTTTCAGTGACTTTGGTGACTCTCAACTGCGTGTACATGAAGTATGTGACACGGGTGCAGACGTTTCTCTCCAGCACCAAGATGCTAGCCCTGCTTATCATCATAGCGGGAGGTATTGCCATGTTTGCTAAAGGTGAGCAGAGATGATAAGGGGCTGCTCATGATTTATGGCTTTTTTTTCTTCTTTTTTTTTTTTTATTTATTTATTTATTTATTTATTTATTTATTTATTTTCTTTCTTTCTTTCTTTCTTTCTTTCTTTCTTTCTTTCTTTCTTTCTTTCTTTATTTTTATTTATTTTTTTTTTTTTTTTGGGGGGAGAGAAAGAGATATTAAGGGGGAGTCACCCATTTTGTTCTGGGTAGGTAGGGGGGTCAGCAATTTTGTACATGAATATATTAAAAATAATATGCTTAAAAATCATAGGAAGGGGAGGGAGGGTAATTGCTTTTGTACATGATGGGGGGTTGGGGGTCTCTTACTTTGTACATAAACTTTAGGAGGGGTCGTTCACATTGTTCATGCTTCTCCACAAAAATCATCATCACCCCCACCCCACCCAGCCATACATTATGAACGATGAACGGTCCCTAAGGACTAATCCATAATGTGTCTTGTAAGTGCTTCTGTTACTAAACAACCTCAACCTGGTGTGTTTTGTGTTAGTTGTTTAAAATATAAACTTTTATTGGCAAGTGTTGATAGATTGATGTGAAAAACCATTTGTGCAAGACTCTGTTCACCATCCAACATCATTCTTACAACCTTTTCAGTTTGTAAACTGTAACATGTCATATTTGTTATTACATTTTCTCAGTAAGTACAGATTCTTGTACTTTAGTTAGGTTGAGTCCCAGTCACGGATCACACAAAGTCAGTGATCTAACCCACTCACCCACTGCAGCCACAGCTAATATCTATACTATACTGAGATAGTGTAATCCCAAATATAGCATGTGTTACATCTTTCTAAATGACATTGTGTGTTCATTGTAAGCTGTAGTTACAAGTGTCTTGAGTGTAAGCACAACAGGAACAGAGTCAGTGGCAGGGATTAGTGAGAATAACCGATGACATCACAATCATCTGTTGAGCATTACCATGCAAATTTCACTGTAGTTAGATCTAGGAGATATGCAAGCAATACCTCCAGTATGTGCGGAGATAATAGATGTTTGTCCACTGATAAACTTGACTTGTGTTGAACGATACATTGAGATAGTACAGAGGCAATCAGAGTGACAGTGTTATATACCTTGAACATCGTGACGATAAACTTGACATGTGTTGAACAATACAATAATGGATTGGAATAATGTGTTATTGCAGGAAACACAGAATATTTTGAGAGTCCCTTTGAAGACACATCCACAGATGCAGGAGATTTGTCACTGGCGATCTTCTTCTCGCTGTTTGGCTATGGTGGCTGGTACGTGTGCATCATCATCATTACATTCAGATTTAGACTCAAACTATATCTGGGTTATTCATTTGGAGGATAATGGTCAGTCTTTTCAAATTCTGAATTCATGTCTAGTGTGTTCATCATAGGCAGATCCAGGAAAATTCAAAGGGATGGGTTTGAACCCCACCCCCCCACCCAACCCCACCACCCAGACCACACCCCACCACACCCCACCCCACCCTTGGATGGATCCGCCAATGTTCATTGTATCAATAATACTGTCAATTTGAAAAGGTCTTGTGTGACCTACATATATGGTCAAGGTCACATTAAAGCTGATTCATCAAGTATGGTAATTATTTTTTTTATAAATGCCTGTCCATGTATGTATTGTGTAATCTTGTGCATGAGTGTTTCATTAAATTAATATAATGTGGCAGCAATCGATTTTGCTATATCCAGGCGGCACCAATGCAATAAAATATTGCTAGTGTGGGTAACGTTAGTTCTCAGGCTGCACCCAACGCAGATAACATCGGCAGTTTTATGGATATAAGTTGCCCATATTTAATACAGTGTTTCCTATGGTCTGTATCAGGTGAATCAACTACAGTGAAAAACTACACTGTAAGGAAGTGTGCTTTCATGATCATAAATCTCTTATTACATCACACTTCATGTTCATGATCTTGTGACAAATCAAGGAAGGTCAGAGGTCACTGTGTAATACGTCACTTGTAATGGTGGACAAGTTGATTTTGCAAACTGAGCACGTGGGAAAGAATGTTTTATGAATGAAACTGTCAGTTAACTAGCAACATTCTGTCAACAAATTCCCCCAGACATGCAGTAGTGTGAGCAGTTCTGGAGATTTGGACATGAATGTCCCTCTGTGTTCCTCGGCCCTGTAGGATACTGCAGTGTAATATGTTTACAGCAAAATTATTCTAGTGTAATACCGCTAGACGTATGACGTCATAATTGTTTTACAGTTATGACGTCACAGTGGTATTAGACCTTGCTTGACTCGCGGAAAGCTAAGAGTCATCACTCTACGTTGGCTGTTTCTATCAATTTATGTTGGAGAGTAATAAACAGAATACTAAACTCGCTGCCGTGAAATACCATTTTCATTCAACTCAGGAAAGATTTAGCATCAAACTCGCTTTCGCTTGTTTGATACCAAATCATTAACTCGTTTAATAAAAATGTCATTACACGGAAGGTCGTTTGAGTATCCTCCATGTCTGCTGATAAGGATTCCTCTGCTATCAGTAGCAACCTTGTTGATATGGTGCAGCGAGTATTTTGACAGTGCAACCTGATTAATGTGTTAATGTCCTCTGTTGTACGTGGAGTGTGTCGTTGGTAATAATGAAATGGTATAGTGGCTGTCTAAGTGTGATATCTAGTTTATCAAACTGCCTTGGGGCACTCTATGAGCCTCTCATAAACAGACTGTCTGTAGTGTGTCGGTAGTTTATGTTTATTTTTAAAGATCCTTACTGCGGTGTTTTCATACTTACATCCATCCTGTTATGTAGGAATCTGAGAAACTTTGTTGTAGGCAAGTACTGCTGTCCCTGTCTGAGGAAGTGAAGAACCCAGGAAGGTAGGCCTAAGTCATAGACGGATCAACAGTGAGGGGCACATGGATCCACAGGGAGTGGAGCATGGATCCACAGTGAGGGGTGCATGGATCCACAGTGAGGGGTGGAGGGTCCACAGTGAGGGGTGGATGGATCTGCAGTAAAGGATGCATGGATCCGTAGTGAGAGGTGCATGGATCCACAGTGAGGGGTGCATGGATCCACAGTGAGCGGTGCATGGATCCACAGGGAGGGGTGCATGGATCCGCAGTGAGGGGTGGAGGGTCCACAGTGAGGGTTGGATGGATCTGCAGTAAAGGATGCATGGATCCGTAGTGAGAGGTGCATGGATCCACAGTGAGGGGTGCATGGATCCACAGTGAGCGGTGCATGGATCCACAGGGAGGGGTGCATGGATCCGCAGTGAGGGGCACATGGATCCACAGGGAGGGGTGCATGGATCCACAGTGAGAGGTGTATGGATCCACAGTGAGGGGCACATGGATCCACAGTGAGGGTGCATGGATCCATAGGGAGGTGTGCATGGATCAGCAGTGAGGGGTGGATGGATCCACAGTGAGGGGTGTATGGATCCACAGTGAGAGGTGTATGGATCCACAGTGAGAGGTGTATGGATCCACATCACATGGTTTTGAAAAAATAATTAACATCATACAAAATACATATTATTAAAATATTTGTTATTTGTTTTCAACAAGACTTTTCAGCACCACAACCACATTCAATTTGTTTAACAAATTGATTGCATTCATCTAACATCTTTTGCATTTAATTAACCCTGTTTGCTCTGAAGAGCTTTATCATTATTTTAATTGATAGTTTATCTGTAAACCTGAGGTAAATGGAAAAAGGCTATTGACCGATCTAACCATGAGTAGATGTGAACATCAAAGTGTTCCATGTCACCCTTTCCTGATTGTCACACACCCTGTCAATAGAGTTAAGTACAGAAACATCTCCTTCAAGTTTGAAAATTCGGGGATTCTTTGGCGTATTCCAGTTATTTCACCGCACGTCAGTTTTATGTGAGAGAAAAGCCCAAAGCGATACATATTGGAGTAATTTACCACTTTGTTGAAACCCATAAACATGCATATGGTATGATTGCATAATGCCATGGTGTTGACACATAGAAACATAGTCTCCTGGCATGTCTAAGGGAGGCAACTTTGCACAGCTAATGTCAGCTAAATGTGGTTCCACGCTATGATCGACCAGAACGTATCCATGAGCGTCCTGCTGTTTCAGAGTTCTCCCTTTGTCGGTGTTCTCGGCGTTCTTCATCGTCATCCTGAAAACAGTGCTGGTCAATGTCGCCTACTTCACACTGATCTCTCCAGCAGAGATGGCCGCCTCCAGAGCTGTTGGGCTGGTATGTAGAAGATCCGCGGTAATCGCTGCTCCGTTCTCTGTATCCAGTGTAACACATGTTGAACCAGTTGTGCTCCCTATCACTGACTTACAGCACCATCTTCAAGGCTGATATACCCGGGGAAGGTCCAGATTAGATCTGATCTACAGTAACCCATAATTTTTCAAGTGGTCAAGTTTACTGACTTGGTTTACACATGTCATCGTATCCCAATTGCGTAGATCGATGTTCATGCTGTTGATCACTGGATTGCCCGATCCAGTATTTACAGACCGCCGCCATATAGCTGGAATATTGCTGAGTGCGGCGTAAGAACTAAACTCACTCACTCACTCTAGTGACCATACAGCATTTTACTTACTGACCCTTACTTTTGGAATGACTGACAAGAATGGAAAGTGTTTAGTGATGGAGGGGCGGTGGGGTAGCCTAGTGGTTAAAGCGTTGGCTCGTCACGCCGAAGACCCGGGGTTCGAATCCCCACATGGGTACAATGTGTGAAGCCCATTTCTGGTGTCCCCCGCCGTGATGTTGCTGGAATATTGCTAAAAGTGGCGTAAAACCAAACTCAGTCAGTCAGTCAGTAGCTGTAGCATTTACCTTACCTGTGGTAAGTGCGATGTATACTGAATGTATTTCATCTTGATTCCAGCTGTTTGTTGAAAGGCTGTATCCGCCATTGGTGCCTGTGATATCATTCCTCGTTGGAACCATCACAGTCGGTGCTTTGAATGCAGGGATTCTAGGACATTCCAGGTGGGTGCCAGGAATGGTAATATTACTAGAACAGAAGCACAACATGGGAGTCATTGTGTCACAGGAGCAGAACACCTAAGTAGTCAGTATGAGAGTCAGTTATTGTTGGACCCGTGAAGGTCCAGCTTAGAATGAATCTTCAGTAACCCATGCTTGTGGTAAGAGGCGACTAATGGGATCAGGTGGTCAGGGTCGCTGGCTTGGTTGACACATGTCATCGGTTCCCAATTGTGCAAATCGATGCTCATGCTGTTGATTGGCTGTTCCACAGGATTGTCTGTTCCAGACTCAATTATTTACAGACATCCGTCATATAGCAGGAATATTGCTGAGTGCGGCGTAAAACTAAACTCACTCAGTTGTTGTTGTCCTTCCAGACTGCTGTTTGCTGGCTCCAGGGTGGGGCATGCTTCAACTTTGTTTGGGATGATCCACCAGAAGTACCTGACCCCTGGACCCTCCATCGTGGTTCTGGTACGTACCTGACGCCCATGCTCTAACGTTTGGCTTTTCAGAATCTAACAAATTACTTTGTTAAAACTTTCAGTCTATCACATGTTGACATGTAGGTTTTTAACATCTACCCTGAAACTGTAGATGAGGATGAAGATGAAAGTATAAATGGACAATAACAGCAGTTGTGTTTACCTGCTGCGTGTGATAATGAAATCCAATTTTAGATTTGTGGATTTCCCTGGATATTAAGTAAGCAGTCTCAAGTGTGAGTAGAGCAGCGTTAGTGTCAGGCTAAACCTGGACTTACTTGGAGCTGACAGTGTCTAATATTTACCAGTGTCAAGTATCATAAGTATTTTAAGTATTATAAGGGTTATAAAAAGAGAATTATTTAAAATTAAAATGGATTTCATATTTTCATTTGACAAATGTCAAATGTTTTTCATTGTCAACTATATATGTATGTGAAATACGATCATTTGGAGATCAAATCTTGGAATTTACATTGTGAAATATGTCAAATTTTTGTTATCCATTTTTTATTATGTTGATATATACAAAATAAACTACGGCTCTAATAACCCTGTCTATAATTATTCATTGTTTGTTGACAATGGCATTGCATGGATAAGTTCCTTACCGTATAGGGATGAAGGTTCCGCTATTGTGGGCCCAGAAGTTGTTTTGATAACACTGTGACAAAGTACACCGTAAGCAATAGTGACTGATTGAGTTGAGTTTTACGCCACTTTTAGCAATATTCCAGCAATATCACGGCGGGGGACACCAGAAATGGGCTTCACGTAACCACTACGCTACCCCACCGTCCCCCTGTGAGCAATAAGGGAAGACACATTTCTGAATGATACTGAATGCCGAAAACAATATGAAACCACTGGCCACTGCCGAAATATTTGAGTCTTGGTATGGTTATGATGTGGGACACTTTAAGGTCCTGTTGACGATGCTGCATCTTTGTTGTGCTTCCTGCTAATCATGGATACATGCAGTATGTTTGTTGTATGTTCTATTTATCTAGCATGCAGTTCCTCGGTGTATTCCTCTCCTATATAACATGCTGTTTTTCATAGATGTTATAATCTGTTATATCCTTTTATCTCTGTTACAGGCAGTATGTCTTTTATATCCTGTTATCTCTGTTACAGGCAGTACATCTGTTAGATCCTGTTATCTCTGTTACAGGTAGTACATCTGTTAGATCCTGTTATCTCTGTTACAGGCAGTACATCTGTTAGATCCTGTTATCTCTGTTACAGGCAGTACATATGTTATATCCTGTTATCTCTGTTACAGGCAGTACATCTGTTATATCCTGTTCTCTCTGTTACAGGCAGTATGTCTGTTATGTCCTGTTATCTCTGTTACAGGCAGTATGTCTGTTATATCCTGTTATCTCTGTTACAGGCAGTACATCTGTTATATCCTGTTATCTCTGTTACAGGCAGTACATCTGTTATATCCTGTTCTCTCTGTTACAGGCAGTACATCTGTTATATCCTGTTCTCTCTGTTACAGGCAGTATGTCTGTTATATCCTGTTATCTCTGTTACAGGCAGTATGTCAGTTATATCCTGTTATCTCTGTTACAGGCAGTACATCTGTTATATCCTGTTATCTCTGTTACAGGCAGTACATCTGTTACATCCTGTTATCTCTGTTACAGGCAGTACATCTGTTACATCCTGTTATCTCTGTTACGGGCAGTACATCTGTTACATCCTGTTATCTCTGTTACAGGCAGTACATCTGTTACATCCTGTTATCTCTGTTACAGGTAGTACATCTGTTATATCCTGTTATCTCTGTTACAGGCAGTACATCTGTTATATCCTGTTATCTCTGTTACAGGCGGTATGTCTGTTATATCCTGTTATCTCTGTTACAGGCAGTACATCTGTTACATCCTGTTATCTCTGTTACAGGCAGTACATCTGTTACATCCTGTTGTCTCTGTTACAGGCAGTATGACTGTTACATCCTGTTATCTCTGTTACAGGCAGTATGGTCCCTGGTGATGTTGTTTGTTGGCGGGTTCACCACAATGATGCGCTACATTACCCTGTTCTCCAATGCAATGAGTTTGGGTGTTGTTGTTGCCTTGCTGTATCTCCGCTGGGTGAAGCCCCACGAACCACGCCCATACAAGGTGAGTTACGCCATCACACTCTAGGGGCCAGTCATTATTTATAAAGGGAGTCAGGGGAGAGTCACCAAAAGATATGAGTCTCTTAGGGAGGGTAGAAGAAAACAGTAAACGTAATTGAGGACTATGTGGAAAAATATACATGGACTTTTATCATTCATACCAAAAATGGACAAACGTATCAGAATCTAGTAATGTGTGTTCATTACTTTAAATAGTGTCAGTGACAGTGTCATTTTCATAGTGAGTTGTAGTTATTTGAAAAAAGATGATAATATCTTTCAACTTTATATTCTTCATAGTATTCGATTATTGTTATTAGCTGACAGTGCAGTTTGTTTGTGGCATACAGATTGAAACAATGTTACAGCCTACGGACTTCCTGGGAGAGATTCTGATCACAGAGAGTTATCTGCCCTTCTTAACTAATTCCACTGAGAGTAATCTCCCCTTTGTTGCAGGTGCCATTGTTTGTGCCTATATTACAAGTGTTTGTTGTCCCGTTCATCCTGGTGCTGGCGGTGTATCAGAACCCCGTGGAGATGGGAACTGCTCTGCTTATCCTGTCTGTAGGTGTGCCAACATACTTCTTGGTCACCTGGACACATAAGCCAAGATTCATGACAAAATTTATAGGTGGGTAATAATTCAGTTGTGTAATATCTAAAATGGCCACGAACAGTGATAGTTGTGGTATTGACAGTTTGCAATAAGCGTGTGGTAGATATTGAATATTTACAGTACATGTAATGGTAAAATTTGTTTTTGTGAGGATCATTATTCATTTGAGGATTGTTGAGCAGGAATCAAATGGTTGAGAAGTGTTCTTATGCTTTTTGCCACAATGTCTTCCGTATGTAAGAGCAAAGTTAATAGTAATAGTAATAGAACCCTTATATGGCGCTCATATCCAGGCACATTGCCTGCTCATGGCGCTACATCCTCACGGGTACCCATTTTACAGCTGGGTGAACTGAGACAATGTGGATCTAAGTATCTTGTCCAAGGTTACTACGCAAATGTGCACACCTCTGAACCCGAACCTAGGTGCCTTCACCGGGGATCGAACCTGGGCCTTGAGTGTGATAGGCAGATGCCACACCACTGCACTATTGCGTTTCACAACATGCTCAGTTTTTGCAACCACAGGACATAATGAATTTGTGTTTAGTGTAATGATGTCATGATTAATCAATACATCGAATCATTGATAATATTCTCAAAAATTACACGAAACACACTTTACTTCTACTGATTCCTATTTGAATTCCTTATTGTATAGGGGCGGTGGGCTAGCCTAGTGGTTAAAGTGTTTGCTTCTCATGCCGAATACCCGGGTTTGATTCCCAACATGGGTACAATGGTACAATGTGTGAAGCCCATTTCTGGTGTCCCCCGCTGTGATATTGCTGGAATATTGATAAAAGCGGCGTAATATTAAAGACACTCACTCAACCACTCCTTATTGTATCATTGGCACATTCATTCATACTGAATTCATTTCATTCTGGGTGCACACACGTCTAAGGTATTTTATAAGCAGGGACTTTGCTGTTATATACTCAAAAAAAGTTAAGGACAACCCCAATATTCAGTAATAAAGTATTTAATAGTTTATATTATGATCCGTATCATACTTGGATATTGAATAATGGGGTGGTCCTTAACTTGTTTTAGTTGAGTATATTTATACACGTATTATTACATGAACAAAGTATTGCACATTTCATATCAAGATATACCTGTATTGTGATATCCATATTTGTGGCTATGTACATATCTGGTACTTTTCTTTATTACCCACGAGGTCAACATATGGGTAGTTGCATACTAATCTCGTACGTCACACGAGTGTCGTATCGCGTTGACCTGTGTCGTAACGACTTGACCTGAGATTCTAACGATTTGATTGGATAGCCAATGACCTCTCAATTAGGTCACATTCTGACGTAACTATTTTTTCATTCATAACAAACACGTGAATTCATTCTACAACTTAAATGCATTGTGGGAATGTAAACATTGCGAATGTTGCCGTGTGGCTGTTTAATTGTGAGTCGAACTAAGACATTATATCCGTCGAAAAACGCAATGTTTCCACCAGCAATGTTAGCAGAATGAAGCAACTGGAAACCAAGAAACAAGGTGCGAAGGAGTAGTTTACTGTAGGAGGCTGTACGAGGCGATGACAACTGACATGCATAGTGACGTCGGTTACGAAGGCAGTGACGTCATTACAGTGTGACGTCATGCAAATATTGTACTACAGTACAAACTCTTCCGCAACCTCTTTATGAAACCGGTTTCGGTTTGAAACCAAAGACATAACAAAAATACGCTATTTTGTCAATTTAATGCATGTAAGACGTGGGTAATAAATAAAATACCACACTCGGTCTCATTACATACGAATTATATGAAACTCGTGACCTTCCTATGTTATATGACCTCGCTTTCGCTCGGTCAGATACCATAGGAAGGACACTCGTTTCGTATAATTTGTATGTAATGAGACCTCGTGTAGTATTCTCTATGTCTCAAAGAAATCATTTTCAAGATTTGACAAAGGATGCAGTTAGTAGCTATAGGTTTGTCAAATATTGTGCACATTATGAATTCAGTTTGCTGGCAATCTGTATTTTTCAAAATATGAAGGTAATTACACATATTGGCAGTTTGGAATAATTCATAACGTGTATATTTTAAAATAGGCTTGTCAAGACGAACTTACAGGACATTTTACTATTGGTTTCTTTTTCATTTCAGATAATTTCACAGTTGCCGTCCAGAAGTTATTTTTTGTTGTGAAAACATCATAGTGTCCGGCATATATTTTATGAACATATGTAGTGTTCAATTGTTTTAACTGCGCACATACATGCATTTAAATCCAAGACAACAGCTCTCCATGATCTTAACAGGCCAAAGTGTAGCTTGTAAAGCCACTAGTTATAGAGTCAGTCATTACAACCATCACAATATACTCTTATACACAATATTGCTTCACACCTTTTAATGAGGCTGTTACATATATGCTGTTATAGTATTTTAAGTTATCTTTATGATGACAATACTCTTATATACAATATTATTTCACAGTTTTTAATTATGATGTTAAATATATACTGTTCTAGTACTTTAAGTTGTCTTTATGATGACAATACTCTTACACACAATACTGTTTCACAGTTTTTAATTATGATGTTAAATATATACTGTTATAGTACTTTAAGTTGTCTTTATGATGACAATACTCTTATACACAATATTGTTTCACAGTTTTTAATTATGATGTTAAATATATACTGTCATAGTACTTTAAGTTGTCTTTAAGATGACAACTGGACCTGGTCCATACCAAGCCTCTACTTAGATACATATACTGAGGGAAACAAATAAGGGAACACCACTTCATGGCAGTGTTCCTTTATTTATTCTAAGATTTCCTCCCACAGTGCTATTCAAAGCTGGTGATGAAAACTGGAAAATACTAAAGGAACGCTTGAATTTTCCTGTGTTCCTTTATTTGTTTCTCTCAGTATACTACTTGGTATGCATAGTTTTGGTTTAGTTGATTGACTATAATCGGTTATGCATAGTTTCACTGTGATACTTCAGAGATGGAAGTTCACACTGGAATCCAACTAGCACATGGGGCTAGTGGACGTTTGATCTGTGATCCCTGTGGTACTCAAACAGTTTCATACCTTGCAGGTAGCGACATGTCATGGTTATAAAGCTTACTTGTACTTGTAAGGTCATTATATTGACATCAGGACTGAGAATGTATTTTGTTATTGAGGAATCATGGTTGATGAATTAGTTTTCAATGAAAAATGTACATCTCTCAACATGGTACTGCCATTAGACTTGCAGTGCAGCGATGTCATAGCATTGTGACATCATCAAGTTTTTGATGTCATAGTATTGTGAGTCATGTAATTGATGATGTCAGGGCATTGTACAAAATCTACTGTCAAAATGATGTAACGATAGGAGCTTCTGTTTCATCTCACACAAGCAATATCTCCAGTCTAACACAGTTTTGGATGATAAAATCAATTCCCCTACTGATCTACAGCCTGTTGGGATGTCGTCCTTGACTAGGTGCGGCTGACATGGGATACCCTCACAGTCACTACTGGTACAGTCGGATAAGGACTAGGTAGGTCTGACAGGGTGGAATAGGGACTACAGTTAGACTAAGTATTGGTTTGAATAAGTGTCAGATAAAGTCAGATAATGTATATTAAAGTATCTGTGTTCATTAATGCCTGATGTATGTGTACATGTTTCAGAAGAGACTTAAATGCTCCTCCAATACATCAAGTTACTTCTAAACAATATGTACATTTACTTATTTCTTAAGTTTTCTGATCTTGTAGCCTTATATGGTGTTCTTATGACACATTTACAAGGTTTAATGTTTTTAATCATGATCCAATTATTGTCGGACATTTTGTTGGCATCCAATTAGGAGCTGTGTTTGGTCAGTTGTCTCCAGAATGTAATATGGATAATCTGTCTTTTTGTAACATCACATTTGTGAGAAATCCTTTTTTGTTGTATGACATCATATGACCTTGAACTCTCATTGTGCAATGTTACAAATGTGTTGGTCTGTCTCCGAACCAGTTGTCTCCCTTTAGAATCTCTTCAGCATGTAGACTAAATGTGACAGTCAGTGATGCTGCATATTGTTATATATTGTTGTTCACATGCACTGAAGTTTTCTTTGGTGTGTAGTTTGGTTTTACAGTATACATCGTTTTCTTTTCTGTGTTTTGTATAGAGTTAGTCAAATATCACCTGAATTATGATTGGATAGTCATTGATAGCACATGGATCAGAAATATACATGAGGGACATTGACCACAAAATAGTGTTTGGGACATTGACCACAAAATACTGTTTGGGACATCGACCACAAAATAGTGTTTGGGACATTGATCGCAAAATACTGTTTGGGACATTGACCACAAAATACTGTTTGGGACATTGATTGCAAAATACTGTTTGGGACATTGACCACAAAATACTGTTTGGGACATTGACCAGTGACCTTTAAAAGTTGTTGTGATGAACACGGGGGATAGTTCTATGGATATGTACCGCATGTATATTTCATTAATGTACATTCAATGAAGGTTCAGACAATCATAATTGTTCCATGAAATACAGGATTACTGATACCCCATTAAATTCCATTCAGTACTCGAAATGTACTCTTAAGTTTTTCCAGTACTCCTATATTGAAAAAATAAGGAGTACATACTCCTGATCATGAAAAATTATTTGGAGCCCTGATTCACCATGCACTTGCGCACAGCATGACACTGTGATCACTATAATGTTTTTCAGCTAATCAGTCAGCCCCCCAAACAGGATAATCAATGTGATATATTTCACCTGAAAGTCAGTCTCTGTGATCAAACACAAGGATCTGACACTATGCGGTGCTATGCTCTTTGCATCATTATCACTCATGCCTTCAACAGCACTACCTCAGCATTGTGCCTATATATCAACAAAGAATGTATTTTGCTTGTGGATGAGTACATTGTATTTGTATAAAATATTATATTTTTCGGATATGAATAAATTATAAGATTTTGCTATCTACACATGCTATTTTTACAAATTTCAGTCAGTGATCAGATCTGTGATTACTCAATACACATACAATGTCCTCATTTGGGACAGGTCACTAATGACACACAGACACAGTGTCCTCATTTTGGACAAGTCACTAATGACACACAGACACACTGTCCTCATTTGTGACAAGTCACTAATGACACACAGACACACTGTCCTCATTTGTGACAAGGCACTAATGACACATAGACACAGTGTCCTCATTTGGGACAAGTCACTAATGACACACAGACACAGTGTCCTCATTTGTGACAAGGCACTAATGACACATAGACACAGTGTCCTCATTTGGGACAAGTCACTAATGACACACAGACACACTGTCCTCATTTGTGACAAGTCACTAATGACACACAGACACAGTGTCCTCATTTGGGACAAGTCACTAATGACACATAGACACAGTGTCCTTCAAATGGACTCCGTCCGTCCGTCCGTCCGTCCGTGCACATTTGTCTTTTCTGGAGCAGAACTCTAAAACTGTTCAATATTTCTTCACCAAACTTGGCACATAGATAGATCTGGTGGTGTACTGGTGCCTTTTGGTAGTTTTGGAATTCTGAATAAAATATTTTTGGCGTTTCCATGGCAACAAGTTTGACTTAGACTGAAATTGGTGGTTGTGCTCTTTTCCAGAGCAGAACTCTAAAACCGTTCAATGTTTCTTCACCAAACTTGGCACATAGATAGATCTGGTGGTGTACTGGTGCCTTTTGGTAGTTTTGGAATTCTGATTAAAATATTTTGGCGTTTCCATGGCAACAAGTTTGACAGCCTGAAATTGTGATAGTGCTCTTTTCCGGAGCAGAACTCTAAAACTGTTCACTATTTCTTCACCAAACTTGGCACATAGATAGATCTGGTGGTTTACTTGTGCCTTTTGGTAGTTTTGGAATTCTGAATAAAATATTTTTGGCATTTCCATTGCAACAAGTTTGACTTAGCCTGAAATTGGTGATAGTGCTGCTTTCTGGAGCAGAACTTTAAAAACCTTTCAATACTCTCCTTCCACTTTTCTATATACACACCTAAATATTTGACATAATCATAACTCGTAGACATAATCATGAAGAGTATTTTGCCATTGCGGGGAATATTGATGACTTTGTCTTCTTGTTCCTCTAGTAAGGCATCAGTTGCCGTCTTCTTACTGCCACAAGTTCCATGGCTGATTCACTGTAAGACTAGTTAATGAACTAATTCACTTATTTAAGTTACAAATGACCGTATTTTTGTAATAGATGTAATTATGTTATTACACATGACATGGTGCTATGGAACCAGACCCTGTGACTTTATGAATATGAATTTGTATTTCTGAAAACTTGATAAGTGGTGTCATCATATATACTATTTCATTACAGCTGTGTATTAGCAAATAAATTGTATTGCAATACTAGTATACTAGTATAGAGAATCTCACCCGAGTATCTTTTGATATCAAATATATCAACACAAGTTTATAAAGTAACAAATATCCGAGGCTTGCCGAGTATATTTTTACTTTTTTTCAATGAGTGAGATTCTATTTATCATAAAAAATCACTCTTCATTGTGATTCATGCACCCATATTGTGATACATATTGCGATATATTGACAGTGAGTGACACTAATTGTGCATGTCGATCCTATTTTCTACATTATAAGTCCCTAAAACATATATGTTATAGTTCTGATAACAAAATTAGGTTGCATATTCAAGTATTCTATTTTCTTTTTTATACAATTTATAGTATTACAGCATGCCGTTTTGTCATTAAATAACACAGGAAAACATTTGTTGTGAATGAAAGCGTGTAAATTGTAATTTAAGCCATAAAGATAATCACAAAAACTTTATATATGTTCTTTACCCAATATACCGGTTCTCAGAAAAAATATTGCTGTACATATCATTTGAAAAGCATATTGCGGTATACCGATAATACTATGCAGTCCTACTATATATACCATTCTTGTTAACTAACTCATGCAGCAGGTGCCCTCATCACAAAACCTTCAAGGCTTATTGTTTTATGTATTTTCTACAGGATATGCTTTGGATGTGGTTTTCATGTTCTCATCGATAGTGAAGTGGAATATATTTAAGTATCAGCTTTCTGTATTCATATAGATGTATGTGATAACATATTGTATGTTTTCTTGTACATTGTACAGCTCAGTTCATTGACACATGATAACACTTTGTTGAGATTGCCGGTCGTGAGTTAAGTTTTCTAGCATTCGTTGTATGGTAAATAAGCCCTGGTTAAAGTGAACTCAAAGGGACCACTCATTATTTTGTTTATGTTAACCGTAGTTCATTATTCACATTTTGTTCACGGTAGTTTTTTATTCACATTTTGTTCATGTTAACCGTAGTTCATTATTCACATTTTGTTCATGTTAACATAGTTCATTATACACATTTTGTTCATGGTAGTTTTTTATTCACATTTTGTTCATGTAAACGTAGTTCATTATTCACATTTTGTTCATGTTAACATAGTTCATTATTCACATTTTGTTCATGGTAGTTTTTTATTCACATTTTGTTCATGTTAACCGTAGTTCATTATTCACATTTTGTTCATGTTAACATAGTTCATTATTCACCTTTTGTTCATGTTAACTGTAGTTCATTATTCACATTTTGTTCATGTTAACCATAGTTCATTATTCACATTTTGTTCATGTGAAAATAGTTCATTATTCACATTTTGTTCGTGTTAACTGTAGTTCATTATTCACATTTTGACAGACTTTTACAGGTAATGACAAGGACAAGAAATACAGTTCACTGCATCTGTCAGTTTCTTATTTACATTGTTTACTGTTATGTTCAGACACTTTTTTCATATTATGTTGACAGGAGTATTTTATTGTTCCCAAATCATTGATGAACAGTATTTCTGAAGTAAGAATATCTGATGCATCTATATACCTAGTAGGGGAGCCTAATGTTAAAGTATCTGCTAGCCACGCAGAATACCCAGGTTCGATTCCCACATGGGTACAATGTGTCAAGCCCATTTCTGGTGTCCCCTGCCGTGATATTGCTGGAATATTGCTAAAAGCGGCATCTCACTCACTATACACCTTACAGATTAGTACAAAATGTTTACTGGTTCTACATAACACAGAAGCCTTGCTGTGTCTGGTACAGCCCCTGTCTCAGCCTCTGTCTCAATATGTAAGTTGTAGCCGACTCTCTGTGCAATACCTGTTGTCCTGTATGTATACAACATCATATAAGGCTCAAAAGAAAGTTTCTGTGCAATAACGTTTGAGTAGAATTTTCAAGATGTCCATCCAGAGAATCTGTATGAAATCGAAATCAGCCTGAGATATGACAAAATGGAGGAGTGGGGAGTTAGTTGTGGCAGTCCTGAGTCTTACTGTGTAGTCATCATCATCATCATCATCATCATCATCATCATCATCATCATCATCATCATGTTCTTTTGTTGGTGGGTGTTTGGGTTGGATTTAACTGTACTAGAATGTGGATTGATTATATACTGTACACTAGATTACATGCTGTTCATGATTATATACTGTACACTAGATTATATGCTGTTCATGAATATATACTGTACACTAGATTATATGTTGTTCATGATTATATACTGTACACTAGATACAATGTTGTTCATGATTATATACTGTACACTAGATTATATGTTCATGATTATATACTGTACACTAGATTGTTCATGATTATATACTGAACACTAGATACAATGTTGTTCATGATTATATACTGTACACTAGATTATATGTTGTTCATGATTATATACTGTACACTAGATTATATGTTGTTCATGATTATATACTGAACACTAGATTATATGTTGTTCATGATAATTTACTGAACACTAGATATGTTGTTCATGATTATATACTGTACACTAGATTATATGCTGTTCATGATTATATACTGAACAGCAGATATAATGTTGTTCATGATTATATACTGAACACTAGATACAATGTTGTTCATGATTATATACTGTACACTAGATTATATGTTGTACACTCAATTAAATAGTGTATCCTAGATTATTTGTTTTACATTATATCAGCATGTTTTCCTTGTTATTGCCTTTACATTGATGTTAGCATGTTATGAATACTTATAGTATATATACTCACAGACAAAAGTAACTGTTCACATGACCTATATATTTATCACAACTTACTTTTAAACTCACCATACTCTCATACCCTCAGCCTTTGAACAATTGATGCTATACTGAGGGAAACAAATAAGGGAACACCACTTCATGGCAGTGTTCCTTTATTTATTCTCAGGTTTCCTCCCACAACTCGTGATGAAAACTGGAAAATATTTAAGGAACGCTTGAATTTCCTGTGTTCCTTAATTTGTTTCTCTCAGTATATTTGGTGTTGAGAAAGGCTGCATGCAGGACCGTCAGATTACCAAACTATTACTTTTTTGTTTCAAGTTAAAATTTAGATTTATTTCAATTCAATTATTATTAAATTCAAACTCTATGTTCTGTGTGATTTCGGAAATTGTGAAATTTCCTCAACAAATCAAGTCATGGATCAGTTTTAAAAGTGAAGAAAAATTTGAAATATTTTTTTTTGACATCAGAAATTGCAGAAAAGCCTTATGCACCTTGTGATACCATCTCTGTAACTCTTGCCTTGTCATACCATCTCTGTAACTCTTGCCTTGTCATACCATCTCTGTAACTCTTGCCTTGCCATACCATCTCTGTAACTCTTGCCTTGTCATACCATCTCTGTAACTCTTGCCTTGTCATACCATCTCTGTAACTCTTCCCTTGTCATACCATCTCTGTAACTCTTCCCTTGTCATACCATACTGCGTACTAAGCTGTGCGTCGAGAGGCAGCACGCTTGAAAAGCTCTCCTGGTTTTTGCCTATTTATCATACTACTGCAGTCTGAACTTTGCTGATTTTTAGCAAACTGGATACCACATACTTCCTGGATACATATCTGTGATTTCTCTGAAATGAGTCCACAAGGAAGATGAGATATTTGGAGGACTTTGTGATGTTCATATTGCTATATTTGCAATATAGCACATTCAGTGACAAGCTAACATCAGCTTGGGGTGTAATGAGTATAGACCCATGGCCAGAGACGGACAATAGACAGCCAATTAGCTTGCTCTCAGTGACAATGAGGACCTACTCAACTAGCGAGCTGTTGTTACTTAATAGCAAAGACAATCTTATCCCTACGAACACTTTTATGCAACTTCGATCTTTTGGTATATGTTCTAAGAAACGGACTAGGAGGGGCCTACGAAATCGTAAACACCGTAGCGATGATAAACCACGCAGACCATTCTCCACTCCAATGAATAACGAAGTTAAGTCAGATCACATTAAAGGTCGATATATCAAAGTATGTCTGTGGAATGCACAGTCTGCTAGAAACAAAACAGCAGAAGTTGTTGACTATATCATGGACAATGATGTTGATGTATTCCTTATTACGGAAACTTGGCTGCACTCACAAGGTGATGATGCCATCATTGCTGATATGACGCCACCGGCATATTCGTTTCGTCACGAACCACGTCTCTCTGGCAGGGGTGGGGGTGTGGCTGTGATATTTAAGGAGCAGTTGAACCTCAAACTGTGCTTCAATAAGATATCTTATAAAAGCTTCGAACAGCTGAGCTTTGTGCAGTACAATGGGAACGTTCATGTGAGATGTGTGTGCATCTATCGTCCACCTGTATCCAAACGTAATGGTTCTACTCAACAGGATTTCATTGAAGATTTCTCATTGCTTCTGTCAAATCTCACACAGAAAAACATATTAGTTCTGGGAGATTTCAACATTCATTGGGATAATCCACAGGATGCTGTCACGAAAAAGTGGATTAAGCTCCTGGAATCTCATGAGCTTGTGCAGAATGTGGCTTCTTCTACCCATAGATCAGGACATACCCTTGACTGGGTTGTTACTCGACAGGACCGGGATATCTTGGATGATGTATCTGTGTTGGACTCCCAGATGTCTGATCACCACGTTATCACCTGTATCCTATCTTTAGTGAAACCGCCAAAGTCTGTTAAAACTGTCAAATCTCGCAATATTAAGAAAATTGATAGGGAGGACTTTAGATCAGATTTACTAAACTCACTACTTTTCACGAGCCAAACTGATGATCCGGAAACTTTATGTGAATTGTATAATGACACCCTATCCCATCTCCTTGATAGGCATGCACCCTTTAAAGAGAAGAATATTCCCGACCGTTCGTCGTTACCATGGTTTAATGAAGAGATCGCTTCTTTAAAAAGAGAGCGTCGTGTCATAGAACGGAGATGGAGACAGTCGGGTTTAGAAGTGGATCGTCAAATGTTCACTGCCGCTAGAAACTGTGTAACTAGGGCAGTACGGAGGGCAAAGTCTGCATACACTCTATCAGCTCTACAGTCTGTAAGATCCAGCAGAGAGATGTATCAGCTCCTAAACCGCTTAGTTGGCAAGGCTAAGGATTCTGCTCTCCCACAGACGTCTGATCTGGGGGGAACTTGTGGATAACTTCAATAGCTTTTTTTGTTGACAAAATCTGCAAGATTCGAAATGAACTTGATTCATTGGATATACCTGTAACGCATCATGAACCAACGCCATTGGGTCAAGTACACTTCATCAGTGCTTTTGCACCATTTTCAGAAGCAGAGGTCCTAAAGCTTTTAACAACAGCAAGACCAACATTTTGTATGTTGGATCCAGCACCAACACGATTTGTTCTTGAGTTCATTGATGTTTTGCTTCCAGTGATCACACGGATAATAAACAGCAGTTTATCATCCGGATGTGTCCCCAAGTGTCTGAAGGTCGCTGTTGTTAAGCCACTCCTGAAAAAGCCTGGCTTAGACGCTGACACACTATCGAACTATAGGCCTGTCTCTAATTTATCCTTCATATCAAAATTGCTTGAGAAGGCAATCAAGGTACGCCTTGTTGATCACTTGACCTTGAATGATCTCTATGACGTGCATCAGTCTGCATATCGCTCCGATCATTCCACAGAGACCGTACTTCTGCATGTGATGGAGAGACTTCTTGCTGCAGCTGATGCGGGCTATGTTACAGTTCTAACGCTGCTTGATTTATCAGCGGCTTTTGATACCATTGACCATGTTCAACTAACTGAGTGTCTGAAAACAGAATTTGGTATTCATGGCACAGCTCTTGGATGGTTTGTCTCATACCTCAATAATAGGACACAATCTGTGGTCATTCAAGACGTGAAATCGTGTACGCATCAGCTTACATACGGAGTGCCACAAGGTTCCGTTCTTGGGCCCATTCTCTTTTCACTCTATATGAAGAATCTCGGCAATATCATTCGGCATCATGTTGTGATGTACGAGTCATATGCTGATGACACCCAGCTGTTGCGTTCCACTAAACCGGACTCACTTCCAGCCGATATGTCTATAATCGAAGACTGTATCCTTGACTCCAAAGCATGGATGATACAAAGGAAGCTGAGATTAAATGACAGTAAGACCGAGGTTTTGCTGTGTGGATCACCCAGTAGCACTGCTAAGGTGGATGTGTCTTCGTTGGTAGTGGGTAATGAGAAAGTTCCTTTCAGTGATTCCGTGAAAGACCTTGGTGTTTTTCTAGACTCAAATTTATCCATGGAAACACACGTAAACTCTGTTTGTAAGTCATGCTATTTTCATCTCAGAAATATTGCTTCCATTCGTGATATTCTGACATTTGATGCAGCTCACCACCTAGTTCGTTCACTTGTTCTCTCACGTTTGGATTATTGCTGCAGTCTTCTTGTAAATATCCGCCAAGATCTATTGTCCAAGCTCCAGAGGATTCAGAACTCTGCGGCGCGACTGATTTGCCGAGTCAACAAGCGCAGTCACATTACACCATTGCTGATACGCTTACATTGGCTGCCCACGAAACAGAGAATAGAATATAAAATCCTCACTCTCGCTTTCAAGTGCCTCCATGACAAAGCTCCAATCTATCTGAAAGATCTCCTCAGTGAATATGTCCCACCACGGCTTTTAAGATCAAGTTCTAATTGTCAGTTGAATGTCCCCAAGGTCAGATTAAAGTCATATGGACATAGACAGTTCTCTTACACAGCTCCCCTTTTCTGGAACTCACTGCCTCTTCACATCCGACAAGCCGCGTCCGTGGAATCTTTCCAGTCCCAACTGAAAACTTTCCTTTTTAAACAAGCTTATGAACTTTAATCCTTTCTTCAGATCACTCTATCTTTTAGCGCCTAGAGAAATTGCCTTGCAGTTTGATTTGTGCGCTATACAAGAACACTTATTATTATTATTATTATACCATCTCTGTAACTCTTGCCTTGTCATACCATCTCTGTAACTCTTGCCTTGCCATACCATCTCTGTAACTCTTGCCTTGTCATACCATCTCTGTAACTCTTGCCTTGTCATACCATCTCTGTAACTCTTGCCTTGTCATACCATCTCTGTAACTCTTGCCTTGTCATACCATCTCTGTAACCCTTGCCTTGTCATACCATCTCTGTAACTCTTGCCTTGTCATACCATCTCTGTAACTCTTGCCTTGTCATACCATCTCTGTAACTCTTCCCTTGTCATACCATCTCTGTAACTCTTCCCTTGTCATACCATCTCTGTAACTCTTCCCTTGTCACCACCATCTCTGTAACCCTTGCCTTGTCATACCATCTCTGTAACTCTTGCCTTGTCATACCATCTCTGTAACCCTTGCCTTGTCATACCATCTCTGTAACTCTTGCCTTGTCATACCATCTCTGTAACTCTTGCCTTGTCATACCATCTCTGTAACTCTTCCCTTGTCATACCATCTCTGTAACTCTTGCCTTGTCATACCATCTCTGTAACTCTTCCCTTGTCATACCATCTCTGTTACCCTTGCCTTGTCATACCATCTCTGTAACTCTTCCCTTGTCATACCATCTCTGTAACTCTTGCCTTGTCATACCATCTCTGTAACTCTTCCCTTGTCATACCATCTCTGTTACCCTTGCCTCGTCATACCATCTCTGTAACTCTTGCCTTGCCATACCATCTCTGTAACTCTTGGAGATCATTTAAAACAAGACCAACTAAGTTTCTTGGTATATGAGTTGCCGTGATGTATGTGCAGAGAGGCAAAGTAAAAGTACACAAACGTCTAGGTTCCTTTGAGGTTTATTTCCTGACTCAGCTCTTTAAGAATTAAATGAAATTAATGAAACGAATATAAAATACAGGTGGCATAATTTCATTAAGATAAGTAGAAGTTAACGAAAACAAATTTTCAGTACGATACGTAAAAGCAAAAACATATTTTCAGTCAAACAATTCATCAATTTTATGTTACTAGCTTTAGAGAAGGGAAATAAGTTATGTTCATGTAGGTATCTTATCAAGTCTTGACATTAGCAGTGCAATACTTGCTGTGTTCTTTACTCAGTAGCCTACACCAGTCTATATTCTGGGGTGGTGGGGTAGCCTAATGG